GGTGCAGCCCTATCCCTCATCCTTGCTTTATTTCTGTCTTTTCCTTCCATTCTATCCTATCACTACTACTCTTCACCTTTTTAATAATAAAAACCCGTTTTGGGCATAAGGTATTTGACCTCATTTGTGTCTTAATCTCACTCTTAGGATCGTATTAAAACCTTCGCCCGACATTGGATTGGGACATTAAATTGGTGTCACGGCCAGGATCCCTAGGGACGAGAGTGCCGTATTGCCTCGCTGTGTTAAGTGGGACTTCCAAGGAACGTAAGGGGGCAGGTTCGTGTTGTGCTTGGAATTTACGTGCTGCCTCCCTGAGAGGGCACTTCTCTGCTTTATACATGAACGGGGTTCTCGGGGAACATAAAGCATCTAATGAAGGTGCAACCTCCTAAGAGTGAATAGGAGGAAGAGTGGATAGTAATTTTTTTTTTTTTTTTTCCCCTGTTAATTAAGTTGTGGCCTCCTGAGAGAGAAAAGGGGAAATTTGGGTCTCCCTTTGTGGAGATACTAAAAAACGTGTCTGGACAGGTCCAGGTGGCCCTTCTTGAGCAGAGGACTGGACCAGAGGACCTCCAGAGGCCTCTTCCAACCTCAACCATTCTGTGATACCATGATTCTATGCATGTTTTCATGTCAGTGATGAAATGACAGGAGCTATTGCGTTTTGAAACACAGATGAGCAATATGATATCCAGGATCTAATGAAGTGCGGATTCCATATTTATATTCAAGGTGATTTCAAAATGTGCTCTTAAATATAAACCAGGGATACATATCTTGGAAGAATGCCAATCATTTGCCTGTCAGACGGGATTATAGTCCACAGACAGATGGCAACATAATTGTGGTCTACCAATGGCTCATTAAAACATCATACAAAGTAATCACCTTGTAACTTAGTACCTGAGTAAAAGTTAAAATACAAACTGTTTTAAAAAGCAGAAGTAAAAAACTGTCAGATGTAGGCAGAAGGATTTTCAGTGTCCTTGTATGTCTGCAGTTCTGGTGTCCTCATATGCAAATGAACACAGGAGAAGTAGGAAACAGGACCTGAATGATCAGAAGCATGGAATGGCCTCTATGAGGGGAGATTAAATAGACTAGGACTCTTCAAGCTGGAAAAGAGTTAGGAGAGAGAGTATGACAGTGATCTGTAAACTGAAGAATGACTTACAGAATGTAAATGCAATAATTATTTTTAAATTACAAAACTAGGGGCTATCAGATGATAACCCCTTTTTTGCACAGTGCATATTTAAAGTATGGGAGTCACTGCCACCAGATGGTCTAGGAGCCAAATATAAACTATTGCAAAAAAAGATTCCATGAAGAAATGGAAGAAAAGTCCCTTAAGATTTGAGCAGTCCAAAACCTAAAGCTAGCTGACATCTGTGTGGAGGGATTGTATATCAAAACAGTATTTCTGTATATTCACTCTGTTCTTGTATTTTTTTTTTCCCTAAAAAAGTGTGGAAATTTAGCCAGTGGTTAAACTCAAATTTATACAGACCTAGTAGAGCAGCTATTCTGATATGGAGCATTTAAGTAGACCACAAAATTTCCTGAAAATGGCCCTTAAAGATTTCAGGGCTAGCTTTTAATAAAAAAATTTAAAATGTAAGAAGCTGGGTATTGTACTCCTTCTGGCCTTGTTCTGAACCATAAAAATAATGTGAGTTGAATTCATGGTTTCTAAGAGGCAAGCCGTATATGCTATTCAGAATATGAAGTCTAAGTAAATAAGCACTTGGCAACTGCAATACTCACATCATGAAACAATTTTGCATTGGTGGATGGATGACTAAAATTTAACCAGATGTTTACATGAAATGCTTCTATTCTTATCAATGAGGAACAAAATGCATTTTACAAAATCACGAGTATCCATCACATTATAGTATCTCCTGTGTTTTCTGAATAGTCAATAATCACCACATGATACTCAGATACTTGACATGATTTTGGGAGCATATTAGAGAAATGTCTTTAATCACACAGGAAACCTCTTCCCTGAAGAAGGAACTCTGATGCAAATAGTGGCAAGTAGTAGAAACAAATTGTTTTCCATTGGGAAGGATGTGAAATAAAGATGTGTTACATCCTTAAAGTCTTTTCAACATCCAGGCAGGATTTACTCTGAGCCAGGTCCTGAAATAAAATGACAAGGTAGAACAAACATGCTTAACTGGATACAAATTTTGAATATAAATTAATCTAATATGCTTTTCTGAAGAAACTTTGGCATTGTTAGAAACAATGGAGATTACAGCATAACCGTGAATATAAATAGATACACGCTGTGTAAAGGCTTGACACAAACATTGTAGTGAGTCTGTTCCTTAAATTGATAACCTGCAATCACAGATTGCCTACTGAGAACCCTTTTCCAAAATAAATTTGAGGAAGCCAAGTAATAGCTCACTTCCATGGCTTTTTTTTTTAATGAAAGCTTGGAGAAGCATAGTACCTGGAAGAAACATAAATTTGGCAATTGAATGTCTTCCCCATTACAACTTATTCATTGTAGATAAGTGAATTAATGATGCCTGCCCGAAGACAACTGCAGCTTCTGAAAGGCTTCAGCAGATTCTTGTGTTTCTCCCGTGTAGAAAAAAAAAGACAATTTATTTTATCATACATTCTCACTGCAAAAAAATCAAGTTCTGTTTTAGGAAACCAACAGCTGGAAACATTATTACTTAGGCCAAATTACCCATAGATATAGGCAGAACCTTGAAAGTTTTGATGAAAAATACCAATGGGCTATTCTGGGAGCAACTAGCATGAAAGATTGGTTAAAGGGTGGGCGCCAGGTTAGTGGAAGATCAGTCTCCAAGTGTTCATAATTCACAATAGACTAAGCTTGCTGGGAGAAGGTTCTATTGAAGGGTGATCCTTTTAAGCTAGACAGTATACCTTCAGTTGAAAATCCTTTGGAGTACTATGTCTTTCTTTAAGATAGGACAACATCCCTTCCCTTCTCCTCTGCCTGCCTCTAACCAGCTCTATATTAGGGTCTTCAAACCATGAAAATAGAAGTTTGTGGAATTATAGAATCTTTCATTGTACAAGTCTAGAATGCTTAATTTCAGAGGAAAGGCTTAGAGAGTAAGGGTTCTCTGTATCACTTCACAGTGACCTGCAGCTCTGATTATAGCTTTGATTACAGAGTATGGTTGAAATTATTTTAGCACCTTTCTTGAACACATGGATAAAAACATTTATTTACAAGCAGAGGATTTCTAAATCCATGCTGCTTTGTATTCTTGCACTATCTACATTTCCCTGATGCTTATTTTGCTTATTGGTGAAGTGGTTAAGAAATTGTATTCTTCTTTACAAGAGTGTGCAGAGAAGCAGCAGTCTTCCTGTGGAATCCACAAAAAGTAGAATATCAGTTCTGGGAAGTAATTTGATATGAAATGATTAGTTACAGATAACACCTCAGATTAGTAATTCTTTTCTTGTTCCAACAGTTGATACATCATTAACTATGATTCTCACAAATAACCTTTTTGAATAATTTCTTGTTTCACACAGGGAAAAATAATTAGAACTTGTTGAAGCTGACTGGCTTTCAGGAGGCCAAACTGCAAATCACTGACAAGCTGAGCTGTCGAGCACTGCTGAACGCGTCTCCCACCTTCGTTTGAAGTCTTCATTTATTAATTACGTCTCTATGCTTGCAGTGCCCTGTCTGAAGCCAGGCTCCCCAGCCTTGCAGGGGTCAGGGCTTTATGGGGCCACCGGAATTGTGGCTGCAGCAGACCCATGGAGCCACGTGAATTCCCATGAGGCAGCCTGTGCTGATCGAAGAGCAGCTCCTCCTGAAGACTCTGACGGAAAAAAATTTAACAAGGATACAATCTGCTAGCGCTGGAAAGCAAACCCAAATTACCCAGTGTTTTGTAAGGTGTATGAGGTGTTGCACATGGCGAGGGACAGGCTGAATGCCTTGTCTCAAGCCCTGCTGCTCTGTCCGAGGGTTGGGGAGGCCGGAGCTCCCGCATCCCACCGCAGGGCAGCTGTGCACGGCTGCAGCAGCACAACCAGGCCGGGGTGCCCCGGAGGCAGAGGGCAGCTCTGTGGAGAGAGGAGCCTGAGGGTGTGAGGGGGAACCTCTATCAAGAGAGACCCACGGAGGCGGACCTGGGGAACCCAGCGCACGCAGGGACAGGCCATGCTGGTGCGCCTGAAGCTCAGGTATTGTAAAGGGCAGATGCGTAAGGAGGCCCCCGGCAGCAGGGCTGCTGCTACGCCAAGGCACAAAGGAAAGCGCACGCGTGTAAACCAGGAGGCGTCAAGGAGTTGGGCATGGCGCAGCGCCCGCGGAGGACCGACACCCACTCCGCAGGGCTTGTCTCTCCGGCTGGTCTCGATGGTTCGCTGCCGCGGGGCGCAGCCCGTCGGGCGGAGCGCGCATGCAGAAACAGGTATTTCTGCGGTTGAGGGAGTAACGGAGGGTTAAACAGCGAGCTGCTTACTGAGCCATTTGCAGATTCTGAAAATAATTAGTGACAATGTTTTCTTTGTAGCTAATTTTTTATTGAGAGCCCTGGTTCAGAATGCTGAATTGAAAAGCTCTGCTCTTCAGAGACTTGGTCACTAATCTTGTCCCATAAGAGCAGCCACAGGCTTGATGAGGTGTGACCAAAGGTCTGGGCATGCCCTCCAGATCATCAACATGGCATTCTGTAGCCTGTGAGAAAATATTAGCATAAAACCACATTTTAGGCTAGTGTAAAGATTATGTGGTTTAGATTTTTCTCTTTTATGAAGCAGTCAAAAAAGCTGCTTATTAAATTGAATCTTTATCCCTCTTTCAGAGGCTCTGGGTCACCCTCTGTTTAAATAAACACATTTTACAGGACTGTGAATCTTGTGCTGTGTTTCTGGCCCTTTTGGAATGTTCTTGTGCAGAAGCTGATTGAG